TGCAGCAGGGAAGTGAGCCAGAATTTCAGTTTTCAAACACCTTTCACAGAATCAAACATGCAGGCCAGAATGGCGTTCCAGACCTTATTTTAAAGACTCGGGTACCGTTATAATAAGGCACTCCACTAGATACAGATCGAATTGAGTATTTATTTAAAATAATAAAAATGTTTGTCTTCGTGCACTTTACATACAATAGGAATCTATACACTTTCCTTAAGTGAGTGTTCAACTCCTTTCTGCTTTCGTCCTGAGGTGAGGTTTGCTCCCGAAGAGTTGACTTTCATTAGGAGCCAGGAGGCATATACCTGGAGAAAGGAAGAAGAAAAAGAAGGGGAGATGATGGGCTTCAGAGTTCTCAAAAATGAGACCAGTCAGCTAACAGGGAACCCTACCAAACGCTTCTCCCAGCTCCTGGTCTCCAGGTTTAAGCTCTGTGAACACTGTTCTCTCCCAAATACAGGACATCCTGGACACTGCAAGGGTTAGGGGTGAAGCTGACCAGAATCTCTGCTCCAAGGAAGATTTTAATTTTCTTGCATTTCAGCCTTTTGTTGTTGTTCAAAGTTAACTGGAAATTATGGAGTCATGGTCACATCTCTGCACAGCTGCTCTTTATTTTTTTGTTTTATTACCACCATAGATTCAATCACAAAGAAGAAGGAAGTATATTATTTCAAATCTCTTCTTTAAACCTGAAAAACCAGGAAACAAGCCTGCAGTCATAAAAACATAAATCCAATCATAACACCTCAGTCAGGAAAAGCATCAGGCCTTGGGAACCAAGCAAGCTCAGCCCCGTCCCTGCTCAAACAGACCCCCGCGGAAGGACTGACAGTATCTACAATGAAAGCCAAACAGCTGAGTCACTCACCTAGCTCTTGAGGAGCAGAAGTGAAGAGGAATCATTGGGGGACTGTGGAGCGTTTCAGTGAGAGGGAAACCTGCTTCTCAGGAAGGAATCCCAGCGAGATGAGCTTGGTTTTCCGGCAAATTTTCTGCTTGAAATAAAGGAGCAGAAAACCTTTTATGGTTTATAATAAAATCAATTGATTTTAATAATAAAACTCTGTGGTTAGCCCTAGCCAGTTTGTCTCAGTGGATGGAGCGTCAGCCTGCAGACCAAAGGGTCCCAGGTTTGATTCTGGTCAAGAGCACGTACCTTGGTTGCAGGCTGGTCAGGACACATGCAGGAGGCAACAAATTGATGTGATTTTCTCACATCAATGTTTTCCTCTGTCTTTCCCTTTCTCTTCCATTCTCTCTAACAGACCAATGGAAAAAATATCTTTGGGTGAGGATTAACCAAAAAAAAAAAAAAAGGAAAAAAGAAAAAATTCTGTGCTTAGATTTTTCTACAATAATATGAGATTCTCAGTGTAACTGACTTCAATTGCCTTGGTGTTAATGCTCATCAGGAACAAATACTCATCAATGCCCAGGTCACAGCATCAGGAACAAAATAACATGGAGGTGAATGTAATGGTGAGAGCCACCTGTGGTCTTCCTTCTCCATCAGTCCTCGCTGCACCCCAACCCCACTGTGACCTTCTTGGCCTCCTGTGCCCTGGCCGGGTCCCAGCATGGCGTGCTCACTCTCCTGGTGGCCTCCTATGCCAGTTGCTGGTGCGCCAACGTTGATCTTGGACCCCTGCTTTGCTGCCTGGGGTCATTCTTATGCTCACACCGTTGCCCTTAACCACCTGGGCTGTCCCTTACCTGCCTTGGGATTTGTCATCACATTGACCTCACTTCCCAGAGAACTTCTCTTTTGATACTCAATATTGTTAGGTCTGATCAAATAAGTGAATCGGTACCCCTCGCCTGTGGACTGACATTTAGATTACTTTACAACTGACACTCCCTTTCGCTAAGACCACATTCCACTTGCTGAGACCATTATCTTTCCCCTTCAGACTTGCCCAAGATCCGGACCCACCCAGAGAATTCTCCATCGAAAAAAAAATCTTGTCTAGAGTCCTTTAAAATCTCTGACTCCCCAACCCTGGGGGCTGGCGCCATTTTGGGACTCAGCCCATCTGGTTTTCCAGATGACCTAATAAGTTTATAATTCTTTACCTCTTTTGGCCTCGTATGTGCCTCTTTCGGCGACCCTAACAATTATGAACTCATAGATTTAAATATAGTTGATGAGCTTCAATTTAATGCAGCTATTATTTTCATTGATAGTCAAATGGAAGCCCTTGCAAGTGTGTTCCTGACTACTTTTGGCATAATCATAGTTGTTAATAGTGTTCTTGTTTTCAGGTATGACTAGATGTTTAAGGTTCATCTTCAGCATTTCTTTTTTATTTGTTTGTTGGTTGTTTTTTGTTAATCCTCACCCAAGGATATTTTTTCACATTGATTGGTTGCCTCCCACAGGCACCCTAATGGGGGCCAGGTATTGAACCTGTAACCCAGGTATGTGCCCTTGACCAGGAATCAAACCCAAGACCCTTTGGTGTGCAGGCCAATGTTCTAACCATCTAGCACACTGGTCAGGGCAATCTTGAGCATTTCTTGATGCAGACCTGGATCCAGGTATTTCTATAAAAAGCCCTAGTTCTTAGCAGAGCATAATCTCTGTGTTAGGAATGCTCATTCCTGATGGGATCCTTGTTTCTAGGCCTCTTCAGGGAACACAACTAGGAGTTTAGAGATAGATGGATAATTAGAGATAAATAGATAGATAGATAGACAGATAGATAGATAATAGATGGATAGGTTGTTTAATTCATTAACACTATATCCTGGAGATCTAATGGAAGTATATAGAGGTATTACTCTTCTTTTTACAGTTGTATAATATTCCACTGTGTAGCTATAACCATAGTTGATGGCCTCCTTTTCACTGACATTTGAATTGTTTTTAATAAACAAATAGTGCTCCAATTAATAGTCTTGTGCATACAGATTTCCATATTTTCCAGTGCTTCTTTGGGATAGATTATGTGGACAAAAAAGGGGGTTCTATGGAAAGTAACCTCACAGGGTGATCTGATCATAAATTCCTAACTGGGCAGGCCATGGTGGGTAGTCACACCTCAGGCATATCACTTCTTTACTGAAAGGCTTATTTCTGCCTTAAGCAAGCCCTTTCCATTGTTTCTGTTCATCGGTTAACACAGCTTTAAGTAACCACCCTCAAGAGAGCACAAAATCTTGTTAACTATCCTGCCATCTAATCCCACCCTACTTTCCCTGTAACCCTATGTTCTCTCTTTAATTTCAAAGGCATAAAGGAAGCTGCAAAATAGTTCATCTTGGGAGCATCTGAGATCTTGCTCCCCGTCATATGTTGCCAGTTTGGCTCAAATGACTCATAAAAATTCTCTACAGGTTTGGACGTTTCTCAGGAAATGGAGAGATGAGCCTTTGTCTCCTGATATAAGTAAACAAATGCCTCTCCCAGGACTCACTGAGCTCTCATACCAGTGGAGTTTCTGGAAGTACATGCAACACGTCCTGCTGGAACTAAGTTCCTGTTAGCAGCCCTCAGGACATCATCTGTACCCAGGTATGCATATGTGATAGAAATCACAGAGTCAAGCCCTGACTGGTTTGGCTCAGTGGATAGAGCGTCTGCCTGTGTACTGAAGGGTCCCAGGTTTGATTCCGGTCAAGGGCATGTACCTGAGTTGCAGGTGCATCCCCCAAGTAGGGGGTGTGCAGGAGGCAGCTGATTGATGTTTCTCTCTCATCGATGTTTCTAACTCTCTATCCCTCTCCCTTCCTCTCTGTAAAAAAACCAATAAAAATATATTTTAAAAAAAGAAATCATAGAGTCAAAATTGATCCTAACATTCCCCTTAGATGGCACTAAATTGGAGACCACCATACACTGTCTAAGTCCAATGAAGCTATGTTTCCTCCAACGTTAGAACATATCACTGTTAGCTGAGCACAGGTGGAGAGTCAGACCGCGGTTGGAGGCTCAGTCCAGACCATTTGCCACAGAGAGGACTAGAAGGCACAGTGTTAGTCCTTATGAGAATTAAATGCACATACTATGAAATGCCAGGGAAGTCAATTATAGGCACTTGTTGTTGTTGCTGCAATTGTTGTACTTAAATAATTACAATAATTATTCCCTACACAGCTTCCTGTGAGCCAACCACTGGGCAATAGTTACAATCTTCCTAGACTACTTTCTGCTTCAAGCACACAAATTAAAATAGAAGAATTACAGGAGAGTAAGAGAAATATTTTATCATTTTTTGGAGAGAGAAATGCAGTCACATTTGACACCTTAGAGCTGCATCTTTCTTAGTATGTGTATCTATATTATATATACATGTATATTTATTTCCATTTTATAAATGAGAGATCTTACATTGTCTTAAATGCCAGTTGTAATTTCTAACACTTTGAAAAAGCCCTGCCTTGACCAACAAAGGCTTCTACCACAAATAGTTCACTGAATTCCGCATGAATCATTTCAGGACATACCATTTAAAAGACACAGTTCTACCAGTGTAAGAATCCAGCTGTGTCTAGTGACTCCCTAGTGATATCTAGGGCTAATCCTTGCCAGGTGATTGTTTCCAGAAAAGAAATTCAAGTTAGAGTATCCAGTGGGGGAAAAAAGTGTAAAGGAAAACGTTAAGAAAGACTGGCCCAGGCCAGGCCCACACTGCGGAGTGTGCAGGGAGCCCGCAGAGAAGGCATTGTGCTGCATTTTATTTAGACCCGGAAGCAGCCCGTAAATTCCCTGAAATGCAAAACTGCCTGTTTAACTTGGCCATCTGCCCCTTCCCTTTGCTCCGCAGTCCCAGGCCCACTGGGGCCCAGTAAAGGTGTTCCCACTGTCCCTTCCAGGGCCACATAGTGACATTGAGCTGAATGGGGCGGGTGTGACTTGTCACAGCCACAGAGCAGAGAGTTTCGGAGTAATTAGCAGCCGAGTCCACTTAAAAAGTTCTTGGAAGAGGTGTGTGTTTTTTTTTCTTTTTATGGAATTTATTGGGATTACACTGGTTAACAACATTATACAGGTTTCATTCTGATGCACAAGTCTACAACACATCACCTCTACACTGTATTGTGTGTTCATCACCCCAAGTCAAGTCTCCATCCATCACCATTTATCCCCCCTCTACCCTCCTCCATGTCGGCCCACCCTCCTCCACCCCCCTGCAATCACCACACTGCTGTCTGTGTTCATGTTTATTTGTTTGTTGTTATTTTTTAAATGCTCTGATTTACTTTTTTAGTTGTTTTATTGCTTAAAGTCTTACAAAGGGTATTACATATGTCTCCTTTTCCCCCGCCCTTGTTTTTTTATTTCAGAGAGGAAGGGAGAGGGACAGAGACAGAAACATCAATGATGAGAGAGAATCATTGATCGGCTGCTTCCTGCTTGCCCCACAAGGGGGATTGAGCCCCCAACCGGGCATATGCCCTGACCAGGAACCAAACCGTGACCTCCTGGTTTCTGGGTTGATGCTCAACCATTGAGCCATGCTGGCTGGACTCAACACCCATTTTTTTTAATAAAAATTCTCAGCAAAGTGGGAATAGAGGATTGAGGAAACTCCATACTGTCTTCCATAGTGGCTGCACCAGTCTGCATTCCCACCAGCAGTGCACAAGTGTTCCTTTTTCTCCACATCCTCTCCAGCACTTGTCGTTTGTTGATTTGTTGATGATAGCCAGTCTGACAGGTGTGAGATGGTGCCTCATTGTTGTTTCGAGTAAATGCTCTGATTTAAAAAATAACAAACCCCCACTTTTTGGTTAATGAGTTCTGCTTACAATGGGGTTCTGGGAAACATGAACAGAATGAGTTAATTTTAAAAAAAGTGACCTTTTTTTGGTGAAACATTGAGAAATACCACCCAGGAGTGAAGTAGTCCCATTTCTTGAAAAACTGTGATTTATACACCTTTTTGGATTCTGGTTCCATGCTATTTTTTCTTTTTTTTTTAATATATAAATATTTTTATTTATTTCAGAGAGGAAAGAAGAGGGACAGAGAGATAGAAACATTATTGATGAGAAAGAATCACTGAGTGACTGCCTCCT